CGTCCTATGCGATCAATAGGTAATATTAGTATTTAGACAAACACCGAGTCGAGGACGGTGAAGGGGGGGGGGGTTCCAGGCTTCGTCAACTACACCGCGCCCGCGTCGACGCCGACACAGCCCCCCGACGAGAGCTCGAGCGCGAGCTCCTCGTCGCGCTGGCGGACTTGAACCGCCACCCGTGCCAAGCCATCATCGACGCGATCCTCGACATCAAGCGACGTCTGGAAGAACTGAACGCACAAATTCAAGAGCACAAGACGGAAGCAGCCGTGCAACGCCACCTCGTCGAAGCCGCCCGCTGCACCAAGTACCACCTGCGGTCTCCGTCGATCAAGAAGTTGGGATCCGACTCGATCCACCAGATGCGCGACGCCGCCGGCCAGGCTCGCACCACGCCGCAGGAGATCTCGCAAGCCCTACATGGCTTCTACACGGCACTCTACGCCGCAGAAGAAGGACCGGACGCCAGCGCGGTCGACCTGTTCCTCGACACCACGATCAAGACGCGCCTCCCGACCGACATGGCCGAGCGCCTAGGGGCGCCGGTCTTGGCGTCGGAGCTCTACGACTGCATCCAACGCGCAGCGCGACGCAAGTCGCCAGGCCCCAACGCGCTGCCATACGAAATCCTCAAGCTTGCGCCGGCCAAGTGGGCCCGCGCTCTCGAACTGGTGTTTAACCAAGCGCTCTTTGACCAGGCAACGCTCACGCCGAGCCAAGTCCAAGGCACGACGATCCTCCTGCACAAGAAGGGTGACCGGGACTGTCCTGCCAACTACCGTCCGATCAGCCTCATCAACAGCGACGTCAAGATCCTCACCGCAGTCTTGGCCAACCGGCTGCAACCGTGCGCTGACCACTTAGTACACTCCGATCAGAACGGCTTCATCAGAGGACGCTCGATCATGCACAACATTGAGCGACTAGAAGGTTTGCTCGAATATGCCCGCCGCCACAAGCCCGAGGCCGTCATTGCGCTCCTCGACTTCGAAAAAGCGTTCGACCGAGTCGACCACGGCTACTTGCTCGCGGTCCTGCGCAAGTGGGGTCTCCCACAGCGCTTCTGCACTATGGTGCAGTGCTTGTACTCGGGACGCCGATCCAAGATTCTCGTCAACGGCGACCTCTCGTCGCCCTTCTGCATCAAACGGGGGGTGCTCCAAGGTGACCCGCTGTCACCGCTGCTCTTTGTGATGGCGCTCGAACCGATGTGCCTCCAGCTCCGCAACCACGCTCAGGACGGCCTCCAGATCGGCTCGGCGACGCACGTCGTGAGCTGCTTTGCCGACGACTCTCAACTATTTGCGACCAACGAAGCCGCTCTTCAGCGCCAGCTCGCACTCGTAGACCACTTCTGCAGCCTCTCGGGATTCAAGCTCAACCGAGACAAGACCCAAGTCCTCACGCACTCGCCGTTGCCCAACCTGCCGACGTTGCAGCTCGTTCAGCCGTCGCAGCCGACCAAGGCGCTTGGCATCCTCGTCGCTCCGAACCTGCCGCGCAGCGCACGCTGCGACTACGCACTGCGCCGCCTTCGCGACCGGCTGCTGCTTTGGCGACACAAGTCGACGACCTTGGCCGGCAAAGCCATCATCCTACAAGCCGTCTGCCTGCCGGTACTCTGGTACCAGCTCGCGTGGGTTGCGCCGGACAGCAAGACGGCCGAATGCATTGACAAAATGATCCTCCAGTTCATCAACGGCGAACCGCCAGTCATCGGC